GCGCACTGTAGCAGTGCGCCACCGGGCCGGCCCAGCAAGTGTTTCTTATGCATTTTAAACTGCAATCCACCTGGGCATCGTATGGATGAACAGCCAATATTGACAATCAAACATGCAAACCTCTTACCCTCCAGTTCCCACCCACATGCTGACGACTGCCCCCATCAATGCATCCAGCCCAACCTCTCTAACAAGCTAGATGCAGATACCCAAGAGCCTGCTGGAGCTTCTGGCACTTCTCAGCCAAGAGGCCCTACAAAGACAGTCTCCTCCCCTGGAGTACAGTTCTTCTTCCAACCACTCACTGCTGCCACCACCCATACCTGAAAGTAGCCTGTGAATCATCTCTGACTCCTCTCTCAACACCTAAGTCTAACCACCAAGTCTGTCTCCTTGTGCCGCCAGTGCTGTTTTTCGGGGGGTGTGCATGTGCGTAACCCCTGCCCTAGTCAGTTTCCTCTTACTCTCTTACAGCAGCGCCTCCTCACCGTGCTCCCAGCCCATCTTAGTCCTGCTCCAATCCCTTCAATAATGCCGGGCAGCCAGCATGGCCTTTCTAAAATGAACACCTGCCCAGGCCTGCCTCCCTCTTAAGAGCCTTCAAAGGCGACTCTGCTGACAGCATGAAGCTCGTGCTCTTTAAGTGGGCATCCATCCAAGGTCATCCACCTATCTAACTCTTTAAACTTCACCCTCCGATGCCACGCAACTGCTGTTACCTCTCTATACTTCTGTTTTGTGCCTTGGTGCCTTGATTAACCTTCCTCTCCTTATCCCCCCGAGGGGCCTACCTCTTCCAAGCGTTCTGCACGTCTCTGTTCCTGAAGGAACCACCCTGCACTCTGTCTGCCTGCCTTCCTCACTGGACTGCAAGCTACTTGGGGACAGACACCGTGTCCCATTCATTTACATCCCCAAAGTAGAGTGCTGGGCCTAGCACACAACAGACATTCATTTGTGGAAATGAAAAGCAGTAACATTAAAATGCTAAATACTACTAAAGATTAATGTACCTTGTAGACAGAGAGCGGCTAATTCCACAGCCGTTTCATAGGGGCACTTCAATCTTGGAAAAAAAAAATAAAAAATAAATTCTAAAAAAGAACTTAAGTACTCATAACCATAGAAAATGTCATTAAACTCATTTTTCAAAAGGTAGTGATATTTAGATAATGATTTTTGTTCTTCATGTGTATTTTGCTATTAAAGAAAGCAAACAAGCTGACTCACACTACAAATTTCCCAAAGTCCATTCTCATCATATGGCAAAATAACCTAATCTAGGTATAGTTTCTGTCAACCATACGGGCAATTTTATTGAATTTGGCAAGAATGGGAAAATTTGGAAAAAGATCAATGTATGTTATCTTGATATAGTACATGTGTCTTTTAAACTTGCCTTAAATCATTCTTGAAACAAGGTCATTGTGTTAAAAATAAACACACAGACACTATATCTGGCACTGCCAGGACTGCTGGATACACTCAGCATTCTCATAAGTATAACTGAGGCACAGCCATACAAGAGTATTCCTGCAAATCCAGTGATCTCGTTCATACTTAATATTTCAAATTTAGTTAGAAAAATAATAATGACATACATTGGTATAGCACTTCATAGTTTTCAAAGCCCTTTCATATATATTATCCAATTGGGTCAATGCATCGATTTTTAAATCCCTAGGATGGCTGTTTCCAGTCCCTTCCCCCTCCCCAAGTCTCCCATTTTATAGATAAGCTGAGTATTAAAGGTAAGGGGTCTTGCCCAAGGTCATCCAGCTGGTAGGAGGCAGTGCTGGGACAAGAACACCACTCTGCTTTGAACTGCTGTAAATCAGGCTGGAGTGCAGGTAAACTTCAAAGTACTGTACAAATGCAGGGCATCGTCATTAATATTTTTCCAAACTGAAGGCAATTTCTAGAATTACAAGGCCTTTAGTATGAGAAGCACAGTATGAAGAAAGGGAGAGATAAAAATACACACACACTTATAATACACACACCAACCAAAGATCTGTATTGCACGGCTGAATAAGGCAAATGTATACACTGTACAATCTGCTTGTTCTATGGAGTACATTCCACTGAGATTTTTATAGTGTATATTCCATTAAAAGTTTGCAAATTCAGAAATAACATTTTAAATTTCCTTCAGGTTATATGCAAAATCAGAATGTGGTCTTGTCAATAACATCAGGTATTGCTTTTTAGATGCAATATAGCCATAGTTTTGCACATAATAGAAAGTATTCAGTATATATGCAGAAAAATGATACAATTATAAAAGCTATGACTGTTGAAATCTCCTATCTTTAAAATAAATTAATATTGCATGCACAATCAGCCACTTCTGTGCCAAAAGTTCTCGTGTTCAACAATCATTGTGTGTAGCCAGAGGCCTAGTATTATAAACCATTTTTAAGAGAGAAAAAGAAAGTGAGATGAGATGCCAAAACCTCTTTCCATTGGAATCAACATAACCTCTTTACATTACTTAATGCAGATGGTGATGACTGTCCAAATATTTGTAAGTGTATACATACTAATAACGTATCTTGCTTGCAAATACCACAAAAGCCATTATGAATGGGGCAGTGATGTGATCAGGGAGAGAATTATTCCCAAATACACATCACTTAAGATATTAAATGCTCTTGGAAATGCTTCAAGCCATATAGTAATCATTTAAAATAGAATGATAATGACCGTGATACAAGTATTAGACTCACTTTACAATGCCTGCTGCACTGTCTTTTGAATTTTGAAAAGGGAACAAGGGTAAAAGAGTTAAAACAGTGAATTATTTTGAAATATACTATGATCTGTCCTCGGTTAAGAGTTAGAACAAAAACATACTTACTTTCCAGAAAGAATGTCATGCCTGAGTTGTAAAACAAACAGGTACCTGACAAATATATACAAAAGTCAACAGAGGATAACTTTCCCAGCCACTTCCAATCCCATCTTCCCGTCACATAGCCCACCCTATACACAGCCTGAAATTTTGCATTGTAAAAAGGGAGTCCACATCAAATGAGGACTTTGGTGGAAGCATCTTCAGGAAAGCATCCCAGAACCTAGCTAGGAAAGTGAGTGCATGTAGGGAATTTGCAAGATATGTGGGGGATGGAACATGAAACACTGCATGGTCTGTGCTCAAGAAGAGAACCAAACAAGGCACACAGAAGTCCTCACACAGGCCTGCAATGTGTCCACAAAAATGGATGGGGTGGAGCCATTGGATAGGGCCCTCAGCCAGCTCCACCAGCAGATTCCAGATCGGGTGCAGCTGATTGTACCAAAACGTTTGCAGCTGATCTGAGGCTTTTTTCCTGATGCAGTTTAACTGCAGACTGTCTTTTTAAAAAACAAAGCAGGCGCGGGCACACGCACATGCATGAAATAAGAAAAACCCTGGAATTGGACTGCAACTGGTTACAGGGGTAACCAAAATGGGTAGGAAGGCAGCAAATAACACAATGGGGTTTACGTGGGTTAAAAATAAGTGTCTTGGCATAAATAAGTGGCTTTTTACCAGGAGGATGTGATTATCAGAAGCACTTACAGTGCTTTGTAAAAACCAAAGCTGCCCATGCTCCACACCCATACCTACGGAATCTGAACCTTACACACAAGAGCGGTCCCAGGAATCTAATTTGTTCAAAAGCTTCATGGGTGTTTATGATTCACACAACCCAGGTTGAAAACCACTGGCTTTGATGACAGCTAGAAGCAGCATGTTTCATAAAGAACTCTGAAGAGGAACACTAGAATAATTTAATTTGTTTGAGCTGTAGAAACAACGCAATAGCTTTCTGTGGATGGATACAGGAGAATGTGGGTGACCCACATATCAAAGGGAGGGGGAAGTGCTGAAGGTTCTAGTACATCCTAGAATGTTCCTGCTTCCCAACAGGTGTTTAACCACCACTGACCTTTGCTTCTGAATTTCAGGATACTATCTTGTATACTCACACCAAGGAGACATGGCGCTGACAAGGCCAGAATGCCTCAATTCCTACACGAAAATTTAACTGTAGAAGCTCACTAGGTCCTTCCAGTGGGGGAATGGTGATAACCAGTCAGTTTTTTAATTTTAATTTTTTATTTTTTTTCCTTTTTTTTGGGTCTTTTTTACTGGCCGGTAACGGGATTGCAACCCTTGGTGTCACGCCCGTACCGGGGACCGGCAACGGGATCGCAACCCTCAATGTTGCGCCCGCGCCAGGCTCAGTCAGTGAGCGGGAACTGGTCACCACATGGGATCTGAACCCTCGGCGGGAGCACCGCCACGCTCCCAAGCAGCGCACTCTCCAGTGCGCCACCGGGCCGGCCCAACCAGTCAGTTTTTAATGTGTTACTTAGGTGGTCATCTCCAAGCTAGTGGCCACTATCACCGACCACCCAGCTGCATAAATGTCACCACTACAGTCCATCACACAAACCACTAGGAGGCTCTGAGGACATCAAAAGCAGGAAAAGGCTGGGTAGAGAATTCCTATGGAAGGGTGGATGGAGGGAAACTCCACACATTGTAATTATATAATGTTATTTAAGTTCTTTTCTGTTTTTACATGTTTCTGAAATCCAAGAGATAGACATAGGCAGACACAACATTAAAAAAAAAATTGTTCAGTGGGGCTGAAAGAGAACCTGAAGGGATTCTAACAACTCTGTTTTAAAGTACAATTTTTTAAAAGAGAGGATTCCTTATATTGTAACAATAAAGACAATATTTTGCAGTCCTTCAAAATTAGAGGGCAATTTTGAACTGAGAAACGTTCTCTGAATATCTGCCTTCCCTTTTTTGCAGCTGACAAAAATGAAATACCATAGAACAACCAACCAATTTACTCAAGGTCCAAGAGAACAGAAGTGTGACAAGAAAGTAAATCTTCTCATTTCTGTTCACTAAGAAAAATGTCAAATTAAGCAAAGTCATGGATTTTTGACAGAATACAGAAGCACAGGAAAAGTGCTAGTAAGTTTGGCTCAGAAACATAAAGACAGCAGACGGAAGGGGAGGCCAACCCGCGATTGAGAAGACCAGTACGTTACACGTGAGACAAGTGTGACCGGGCGGGGACCTGGTTCTGCATTATGTCCTACCTTGTAAACTCTTCTCGAAGGTTGTTTGGTTCTGAAGAATAGTATTTAACTCGAAAGTGCAAAGCATATGCAGGTCCAACTAAACATTTGGAGATGGAAGGTGAAGATGTTTTTCCCCCAGTTTTGAAGATTACAGAAGGGACAGAAGGAAAAACAGGTTAGACCTATAACATATTCACCTGACACTGCGACACTACTGCTGGGCATGCAAAGCTAGTAAATTCTTTTCTTTTTTTTTTTTT